TACATTTTCAAAATTTTCTTGGGGGAGGAAATCCCCACCATACCCCCCGCTTGTTTTCACCCTCCCCTTCCTTGGAATCCTAGATCCTGCGACTGAACAGTTATCACCAATATCTTGGGAGGCAGATAACAAAGAACCAAAACTGTCGGCCTTTTTGCATGCGTGCCCAAAAACAAAGATTGCAGAGCTGAAAGCAAGGTGGGGAGGAGCGTAGGGTGTTTGGACGAGGGAGGCGGAGGAACGGCATTAAAATTATCCAAGTCAATCGCACTATTTTTGCGCAGTTCACTGTTTTTGGCCCCCCCCCTGTTAACAAATCCTGGCTACGCCACTGCACGCACGCACGCACGCACGCACGCACGAACGCACGCACGCACGCACCCCCCCCCACATATATATATATACAGCGTAGCCCCGTTATAACGCGATAGTTGGGGTCCATAAAATGTCATCGCGAAAAAAGCGGGGTCGCACTAAATCGGGGTTATATATACTTGGCTATATAAGAGCAGAAAAGGGGGTCCAACAACTCATCGCGTTATATCCGAATTCGCGTTAAATCGGGGCGCGAAAAATCGGGGTTCCACTGTATATATACAACAATTGTGGCATCCCGGCCGGGTAGAGAAATTTTTTTTCCCACGAGAGTTCCGGACCCACCATAGATAGTGTTTTGTAATAATTATATGGTTTGTATATATATGGTTGGATTATAGTTATTAGTTATTAGTTATGGTTATAGTTATTAGTGCTAGGGTTCGGGTTCGGGTTCGGTATAGTGGGTATTCATTTTACATTGTTGCTTCGAGGAAGTCGAGTGAATGGAGTGCGCTGATTGGCTGTGGTCCGGAACTCTCGTGGGAAAAAAAAATTCGCGGCCGGGTACGCTGATTGAACTCAGCCGTCCGGTATAGCCGGACCACGTTCGGCCCGTCGACATAATCTAACATGACATTTAAAGTGATTTTCGCTCTTGCCATGCGTGTTCGGCCGGGCGTGGGGGCCAGGCCTGCAAGCGCATACGGGAACCAGCTACAGTGCTATCGTAAAGATATTCGCACTCTATATAATATCAAGAGCTAATAATACCTCTTTTATTAGCTCTTGATAATATGTGTATAGCATTTGTGAGTGCAGATACTTTCATGGCATATTCCCCAGCCGAAAGCAGTGAATGACGCTAATGAAGTCTATATCATACGATAGAAATCTAGACTGGTGACACGTACCCACGGCACCCAACTGTTCTGGCAGACCTCCCAGCCGATTAGCGTTATGGGACACTGGAACCCATCTAGGACGATGAAGGCAGCCTCAGGATCCGATAAAAAATTGTACTCTGCAGCCAGCCCTTTGACGTTACCATGACCTGGTACAAGAAACATGTATGCGATTATATATGTGACCTCATATGTGCAGGGCCGTAGCCAGAGGTAAATTTTGTAGGAGGCAAATGTTGTGAGTTAAAGAACAAGGCGCGAAGCGAGCTAATAGGGCGTGGGGAAATGTTGTGAAAAAATTTGGAGAAATTTTGTAGGAGGCATTTGCCTCCTATTGCCTAATGGTAGCTACGGCCCTGCATATGTGAGCATATGTGAGCATATGTGAGCCCTAACCCGACCAGGCTGTGTGACTAACCCTAGCAATACCGTTTCCTGGAGCTAATGTGAGCCCATGACCTCATATGGGGCCATATATGTGATATCATACACAATATGTGCTGTGTCAATCGGTACCCGTAACAGATAATAACTGATATTGCGGGAGTTAATGGGGGAAGGAATAATCCGAGGTATATAGATTGGTACGTGGAGGCCTACCTTCTGTGTTACCGCCCATGATAATCAACCGCTTCAGTTTGCTGCTGAACGTGGTGTCGATCTTATGCGCGAGAGCAACATTGGTGAGCGGCGCCAATGCAACCAACGTGATCTCATTTGGATGCTCTGTGACCAGCCTGATGAGAGCATGGATAGCATGTTCTTTCTTGATCAAATCTGCACGAGAGATATTACAGATTAGATCGACTTTTATCGGGCTGCACGCACAGGAAAATAATTGAAATCTACAATGCCAAAAAGACAATAAACAATATGGCGACCCCTGACTTCACCACGAAACCCAAAGCCTCAGTGACGGCTCCAGGATTTCTATATATAAAAGGAAGATTATATAAGATTAGAAGTAGAAATCTGATTGGAAGAATGAGCTAGGGGATTTTGTCAACGCTGCATTTGGTGATCAATTAGCGCATTATTCTTATTTGTTATTTGATGTGGCATTGAAAGTGGGGTTGAAGGCTAATTAAGATTATGGTGAGCAAGGTGGAACCACCCCAAAGCCACAACCTAGCACCGCCACTATAAAGTTTTAAGGAAAGGTAAAGAAAAGCCGTATAAAACCAACTGTAATCTTACTGATATCAACTGATTCAGGGTTTTCCAGTCCACCATGTCCGTCCGATCCATGTGGACTTTCTGTTGGTGTGCCAATAATGGGTTCATGACAGCCTCTGTACACAGGAACCTACCACAGAGTAAAAGAGCACGCGTTTTCTTGATCATGTGCAGCCATACTCTGTGTTAACCGCCTTTATTTAATTACTTACACTTTACAGAAAGTTAATAGTATAATTTATTACGATTTTGCATCCCCGTTTGGCACTGCGTGCAATCGTGAAAGTTTGCCAAATCACAAACTACATATCAATTAGATGGAGCCAGCCATTTTCGTCGTAATGCAATGCACGCCTTAATTAAAAAAAAGAAAGTCACAAATTGTACTCACATCAAGCCTATCACAGACTTTCAGTACTCTCAGCGTATTTAAGCAGACATTATCCAGGCTAGTGTTCCCTGCAACACAAGTGATAGCAAGAAGGTGACATGTTGTGGGTTGTGACAGAGCTAGCATGATGGCCTGGGCATCATCTACACCAGTGTCAACGTCAAGGATAAATAACTGCTTGTCCGTAGACGCCATGATGATGACAGGACTGAATCGTTTTCGGGCTGAATGGCAGCAAAGGCCCACTACTGGCATATATAGGAGGCATTCAACAGTATCTTCAGGATCTTCCGCCAGTTCAATTGTTCACTTTCTGCACTATTTCGTCTCTGGAAAAAGCCTTTTTCTGAATTCGACTGAGTGGCAGCAAGTTGTCAGCGATTATTTGATCTAAAGTTTTTGATCGGCAATTTATTTTTGTTTTGTTTTCCTATTTAATGATATTAGAGGGGTTGGGTTAGTCGCGAACGTGGCATTCACGAAAGATATATTTTATATTGCCCACAGACGCTGCCATTTTGTAGGCTCCTTTTATAAGTGCCGGCATACTTCTCAGCTCCTGCATATTGTATCCTTCATACCCCTTCATATTCCATATATATATATAGACAGATATATACTGTATACAGCGTATAGTCTCTATCTACTGAGGATTGATGACAATTTATCAGTGTAAACTCGGTTGCTAGTGATGCCTGTCGCACATTATAGTAAGGTATGAAAGGGAGATGCAAAATGCAGACGCGAAAGTTCATTACGTACCTAGGTACCTTTCCCCGTAGCGGGCGTTTACTCACTCTATTCATCAGCATATAAATCAAAGTGAGACTGTGTGAAGCTGCTTCCCATATGTGATCGCAGTCCACAGTGTTAAAATTCATAAATGCATAATTAAATAAACAAACAAATAAATAAATAGATAATTAAATAAATAAATAAACGCGCATACACGTGCAAATGCAGGGTGAAAATATTTATTTGATTTTCCGCCGCGAGATGGCAGGCACTCGGCACAAATTCGTCTGCTTCGCTTGCGCCGCAGGAAATCGACAAGAAAGCGAAATTCCACGGATAATTTTTTCTCTAAAGTGCTATAAGTGATGTTATCGCGTACCGTAGTATACGATGTATACACCTCTACGTACGAATCTATCGATAGACACTTTTTAGATGTTCAACGCCGCAGAAACACTACGATACAGACCTACTGAAGGCCTAGCCACAAGTTCCCTTCTCGCTTAACACTACGTTGGCAAGAGGTGCTACGACGTGCTACAGGTCCTACGACGTGTAACAGTCGGAGAGCCTGGTCGGTTTATTGAAGGCCCTGTGAAGTACGAGAATTCCGAGAGATCGAGAGAGTAGAGAGACACACGTCACACAGAGAGTCAGACCTATTAAAAGTAAGTCTGTTCAAGTATTTTTCTTTTGTCGATGACGTTTCGCACTCGTTTTCACGCGGCATCGCCTCTGCCATGTAGCGACGCTCCGCTACAGCTCATTAATTAGGCACATTGCCGAGCGGAAAGAGAGCAGGCAACAGCCGGTAGCAAGTGCGACAGGTGGCGTAGGTGTCGAACGGTGACTAGAGTCAATGGTCACTTAAGAGAAAGAGAGCGGGGTACGTGACACGCGACACTATGGGATGCGGCCCTCGCTAGCCAGGGGTCGGCAGAATAGGAACCTGGACAACCCAAGAGGTGACAGGATAATGCCCGGATGAAGGGCACAGGGATCGCCGGTGTATATAAGGCGAGCGGCACTCGGACACGGGGGAGTGGACTTGCTCTATCCCCGTGTCATTCCCTGTCATCGTTGTATTCGTACGCTACGTGTTTGTATTACCTTGTAATGTCGAACAATACAGTCGCTTGTGGTACGTTACCTCTCTAGTTGGTGTTTACTTTATGTCTAGCGCATCCTGTACTCTTATCTAACCTACCTCACCTACCACACCTAAGTAGCCGCACTTACGCGCTACATATATATATCGGGGCACATTGTGTGGCGCTAATGAGTTGAGAAATTAAAACATTCCGACACCTGGGCCCCGCTAAACGCAGTCTGCTATCAACAAAGGGGAGCGTTCGCCGCTTAAGTGCTCCCGTTAGGTCGTCGACAGAGCATCGAGGGAGAGCGGGGTGGGGTGGGGAAGTGGCAATTAGCGACATTACACTAATAACACCTCGATAAATAGGGATAAGATACTCGATAAATAACGGACTAGATACATAGTTGTTTGGACTAGATTATACATAGTTATATTTCTATGTTTATGTGCCGTACGTACAGACCTTTTACGTAGTCTTATTTCGCTATATTCCATACTCGTCGAACCAAAATGATGATATATACTATAGGAGTCTAGAAGTATACGCACACAACGTGTGATTATTGTAGAGTATTGGTTCTGAGAACAACATATATACATTGTTCGCAGCAATATATACAATGTATATATGTCATGTATACATTATTCCATAGATATATACAACATATATACAACATATATACAACATGTTGTATATATCTATGATTATTCTAAGCATTGGTCAAAGTGTTAGAGGCTGCTTTTGATGGATATAAGCTATTTTGTAATTAAAGGTGATTGGATGTAAGCTGTTTTGCAAACTATAGTTGATTTATGATGCGTCTGTTAAGCAGGATGTAAGCTGGTAATTTTTCACTTGAAGGTGTCCACTGTGACAAAGTTTTTGCTATTACCGTCTCTAAATACTGCTATAATATGATAATATATACTAATATATACTATGTATATTGCGCATTGTAACGGATAGGCATTTCGAGCGTAGTAGAGTCTACGACTATTGTGCTGTGATCGATGACGAAGCTTGGAATATCGAGCGCACGCACAGATTGTTGCCTGACCTTCCCGCCATTGAAAGCATTAAAATAGTTGACAAGAAACTGGGTGATGGTATTTTTGGGTGTTCGCTGATCGGTCGCCGCGTCCCTTTCGCGGGACCCGCACCCGATTAAATGCGGTAACAACGAGAAAGGAAATCACTTCGGCGTCGAGTTGTTTTTTCATGCCCTCCTATTTTCCTGTTTAGAGGCTGCTTTTGTCTCCGTGCTTATCGATGGGTATGCTGCCGACAACAGTCAGTTGTTCGTTTTCCCGCCGACCTCCCGTCACGTCTCGTCCTTACAGTCGACTGCAGAGTTTTTTTTAGCACCTCTATACAGACTTTAGCAGATATCCCCCTCGCCAAAATTGTGAATNTGATTATACCATGCACGCGTGCCGTGGGCCCGCCTGGCTCTAGTTTGAACGTACTAGATCGGCCGAACAAACTTATCATGGCAGTCAACGGTGACCGACGTCCGTGCGCCATTTTCATGTACATTAGCATAGGCGGAAATCGTGGCGCAATGCTGCGAGCGAAGTGAATATTGCAGATTGTATTTAATCTTACACTTGTGATGTGGATTCGTCTGGTTCCAGATTGAACGTATGATTTCGGCCGAAGAAAATTTTCTTTGCAATCAACGGCGACCGACGTCCGTGCGCCATTTTTATGCTCATTAGCATAGGTGGAAACCCAGGGCGTGGTGCTGCGAGCAAAGTGAATATTATAGATCGGATTTTACCATGCACCCGTGGTACGTTCGCACATGCGCAGTAACAAAGTCAATAACTGATATTTTTATTCAAAAACGTGTTTAAAACTGGAGCGGGGGTACCCGTGTGCAGATTTATAGGATAAATGTCTATTGCTATGGCGCTTGTAAAGGATCGTACGACGCCCTAGCTTGCAGGGTAACCCGGACATGTTTCTGGCAGAATTCTCTCAGAAACATGGACGTGTATATATTCGCCGAACAACTCGTCATTTAACAGATACTGGGGCATTATGCAACCCAGGATATGGCCGTCCGCCACATTAGCAAATATTATAGGATTTTATCTGTGGTCCACAGGCTAAAATGCGGCTTCGCGCATGCGCAGTAATTCACAAAATAACGGATATGTTGATTCACAAACGTGTTTAAACTGGAGTTGGGGTACCTGTGTGTAGATTTATGAGATAAAACTATAATGCTATGGCTCAGGTCAAAGATGGTACGACGCCCTAGCTTGCACGATACCACGGACATAGTGTTTCTGGCAGCATTCTCTCAGATATATGTACGTGTATATATTTGCAAGAAAACTCGTCATTTTAACAGATACTGGGCATATGCAACCCAGGATATGACCGCCTGCCACATAAAATATTCTAAATTTTACATTTGTTGCACAGACTAAAATGCGGGTCCGCGCATGCCCAGTAACTCACGAAATAACCGATATGTTTATTCAAAAACGTGTTTAAACTGCAGCGGGGTTACCCTTGTGTAGATTTATAGCATGAAAGTCTATTTCTATGGCTCTTGTAAAAGATGGTACGACGCCCTAGCTTTCACGGTTACATGTTTCTGGCAGCATGCTCTCAGATACATGTACGTGTATATATTCGACGGAAAACTCGTCATTTTAACAGATACTGGGCATACGCAACCCAGGATATGACCGCCTGCCACA